GCTCAGAGCTTCCTGGACTAATACTGAAGATTGTTTTCTTGTCCTTTGGCTAGGGAGAGGTTGACATTCCATTCTTCCCCATGTGCTTTTTTATATGTGCTTTCTCCAGATGGTGTGCCCCAGAGAGGGTCTGTGCTCTGGGAATGGCTCCTGATAAAAAAATAAGGTCACTCGTGGAGTGGCGTGGCTTAGAAGTCAGCCCGCCAAATACATGGTGTTTGAAACTACCTCTTGGATCTGTGGAGCAGGCATCTTGCTCATCTGAAGCCTTTGTCCTATCACTTCAGAGTGCACAGGCCAACCGGTACACAGCCCTTCTGACGAGGTCTGTGTGTCTGCATGCCTGGTGTTCCCAGCCTTCTCCTCAGATGGTGTTTAAAAACTCCTTGGGCGAGAGGGAGAGAGAAATGAAATAAAATGGATGGGAATGAAAAGATTGCATCTGAAGTCAACATTTTCAGAGAACGGGGTCAGTGGTGGTTCAGTGGTGAAATGATCACCTTCTGTGTGGAGGAAGTGGATGTGAGTCTTAGCGGTGTACCTCGGGTGCAGCCACTGCTTGTCTGTTGCTCCAGTGCAGAAAGGTTTCACCAGATTCTCCAGACTAAGATAGACTAGGAAGAAAGGATGGCGATCTATTTGTAAAAATCAGTCAGTGGATCTCAAAGGTTTGGTTCCCTTGTGCATGAGATTGCCAGGAGTCTTGGGCTGGCTTAATGGTAGCTAAGAACAACAACCAGGGTGTTCTTTGGAGGCAAGGATGGTGAAATTTCATCTCATATTTTGGATTTGTTGTCAGGGGGCGGGGAAAATTCTTGGAAAAAGATATCATGCTGGCAAAGGTGGAGGGTCAGAGAAAGAAAGACCCTCAACAAGATGGATTGAGACAGGCCTGTAACAGAGCATATCTGAGATGATGGGGATGGCGCCAGAGAGGGCAAGATTCAAATCTATTGTTCATTAGGGTCACTGTGAGTCACAGCTGATTCAACAGCACCTAACAACAGCAACAACAAAATCTCAGAAAGGTGTGTAGTGTCTAGATCTTGTCATGCGAGGGGAGGATTGAACTGATAATAATGGAGGCATGGCTGTTTGACATATGTGAGGGAAGAGGATCTAATAAATTTTTTAATGCCAAACAGGGATAGTGGAAGGAAGAAATTATGTACCATAGATGGGACAGAGCAAAATTAGAGTTACATCCTTCTCTGGAAAACCAAATAAAAGATGAGATTAGGCGACTCTGGACTTGGGCTCTGTTCACTGCATTGGAATAATAATAATAATTAATAATAATAATAATATGCTTCTTTACAGTTCCCCCAAGTTCAGTCTGCTTTACTATGCATTTCTTTTTCTGTAATCTTGTCATGAAAATAATACCTAATCCTATATTCCTTTTAAACAATTCTCTCCATCATCTTTTGTTCATCTCAGAAGTGTCTGACGATTAATAAAAGATCTACTAGTGAAGTGTGTGCTGTCACAGAAATGTAGGAAGATCACATTCAACATAAAGAACACTCTTGATGTCAGAAAACCGTGCCTTCAGTCTCAATCCCTGCAAAAACCCAGTAGGAAGTGTGCTGTGCTTGTGGCCTCTGTGTGTGAGAGTGTGTGTGTGAGAGTGTGTGTGTGTGTGTGTGTGTGTGTGTGTGTGTAGGGAGGTGTGGAAGAGAGGGGCAGGGTCCTGTGGAGGTGGGAGTATAGTCTAGCAGTTAGCTGTGAGTCCTGTGCTTGCTGCAGAAATCTTCCAATGTCTCACTCTGTGACCTTTAATGAGTCATACACTCCTTTGTTTTCTTATGTGTGAAATGGAGATACTCATGCTTGCTGGATATTAAAGCAATACTTATGCTTCAGGTGCCTGCAAAACACTCTTACTTTTGTTGCTATTAAGTCAAATCTCCCCTTCTTATTCTCCTCTGGGTCTTGCCATAAAGGATAATGGCCCAGCCTTATGGGGATCTTCCTCCCTTGTGGCTTAGGATCCCAGAGTGAGTGCAGGGAGAATAGTGATAAGGAGTGTAAGAGATGAGACTTCTCAGAAGAAGGGGTGGGTTCTGTGTGATCTTGATATTCTTGTTAACATCCTTTACCCCAGGGGGTGAGGCAACTGCCTGGAGCATCTGGGACAGAGGAAAGAGGAGCGTGGAGGGGTTATATGGTAGGATGTGAGTCAGTTTCATGTGTAGAATAAAGCCTTGAATGGGGTCTAGCAAAGGCCCTGGGAGCTGGAGGTAGGGCTTCAGGGACCATATGGTAATATTTCAAGAGGCAACTGTTAGAGGACAAGAAGGCAGCTGACTAATTGGTATTAAGGAGGATCTGATGTTCTTATCCTGGTATCACACAGTGGTGGGAAGTATGTGGCATCTGTGATCTCATTCATTCTTCACTCTCTGTGCCTGTGGCAGGCATCACTGATCTATTGTGATGGTCATTCCTGCTGTAAGCAAAAATGCCTACCTGTTGTTTTTTGGGTTTTGTTTTTTTTTTACAGCATATTCTTTCCATTTAATTTCTCCCCCCATTCATTCATTGTTGCACATTTTTCTTCCTGCCCACCCCTCCTCCAGTTCATTTTTCTCTTTGAAAAGAAAAAAAAATTCTTTCATTGTTATACAGTTCCCCCAAATTCACAGTCTGCTTTACTATGCATTTCTTTTTCTGTAATCTTGTCATGAAAATAATACCTAATCCTATATTCCTTTTAAACAATTCTCTCCCTCATCTTTTGTATATTTCATGAGTTCTTTGGTTTTCAATGTAGCATAGTATTCCATTGTGTGAATATACCACTATCCATTTGTTTGTTTATGGGCAGTTAGGTTGATTCCAACTCTTTGCTATTGAGAACAAAGCAGCAATAAACATGGGTGTGCATATATCAGCTTGCATTCTGCAGAGTTTAGTCAATCACTTGGCATAAGAGTTGAAACTTATTGTATGCCACTGGTGTGAGGGAGAGGACAGAAGATTTGGAATAAAGCACAAGTGCACTGAAATGACAGTTCAGTCAGGTACAAACTTTGTGGCACAGAGCAAATATTTTAAGTCAAGTCTTACTTGGTTAGACTCTTTATTTGGACAGATTCTTCCTGTCAGGTTTTGATTGGCTAAACTGGGTCATGTGCTTCTTTCAGAACTGATCTCTTGAGGGGAAGGGGGGCGGGGTGGGAAAACAGTAGGGACTAAGACAGGTCTCACCAGGAGAGTGGTTTCTTGAAGGTAAAATGTGAAAGTATTTGCCCAGGATAAGAGTTGAGGCTGTGGTTAAGAGGGGTCCCCAAGTGTTCATCTGTGTACTAGTGAGGCGCAAGTGAGGAGAGGGAAGGGACTTGAAAAGGTGACTACATTGTTTACTTAACAAGTACATTGTGTACTTAACTAGTGACGACATTGATTACCTTGTGTATATCCTGAGCAGAGAAGGAAGTCATTGTGATTGAGCTCAGAAATGACATATGTGCAACGAGTCTGGCTGCTCCAGCCACACTCCCTCAAAGTGGCAACCAGCTGTTGTTAGGGTCAAAGGAGAGAGGCACTTTCAGGAAGAAGTCCTGTTACTAACCACTGCCCATAGTATCACCCCGACTCTGTTCTTTTCTTTTTTTGGTACCATCGAATCAGATCCGACTAGCACAGGAGGAGATTGCCCCTCCTCAAGCGGAGCATCTGATGGATTCGAACCATTTGCCTTTGAGATTGCAGCACAGCTTCTTGCCACTAGGCCACCAGAGCTTCCTCTGTAGCTTTTCTTGATCTTGCTCACTCAACCAGTGGAGGGGTGGTACCAGGTCTCAAGATCAAGTACCTGTCTTGGATGTTTAAGCCCTTGCTGGTCGATCATTTGGCAGATTTAGGGAAATCTGAACTGAGGCATTGGTCTAACAGGATGAAGAGTGTTCACCAAGAAGCACTCAGTCTTGAAGTCTTCGATTTCTTTAAACCTGAATCATGTAGATGTCATCCCCTCTGGATTTCACAGGTTCCTACTTGGAGTTCCTTCCTGACAGTGTCCCTCTAGCTCCAGCCTGCCAAGCCCTGACATGCACGGATCCCTTTATCTAATGCTGTATAATAAATCATCCAAAACTATGATGACTTTACAGTGATGACAAACCTTATCTCTCACAGTTTCTATGGGTCAGGAATTTGAGAGGTTTCTTTACTTATTTATTTTAACCTAGTCTTGGAAGTCATATATAATCATTTCTGCATGGACCACCAAAAGAACAAACAGGTCTGTTCTGAAAAGGGTGAAACCAGGTTTCTTCTTGGAGGCTAGAATTTTGAAGGTCCATCTCATATACTTTGGGCATGTAGCCAAGAAGGACTGGTCCCTGGAGAAGGACATGATGATTGGAAGAGTGGAGTGACAGTGCAGAAGAAAAAGACCCTGGGTAAGATGGGTTGAGAAAGTAACAGGCAATGGGGGGTAGATGTGTTGGAGTCAGCGAGACTAGCTCAGGACAGGGCAGGCTTCAGAGCTGTTGTACGTAGGGTTGTTATGAATTGCAGGTAACTCAACAGCACATAACAACAGCCACATGTTGGTCAAAATACCCACGAAAGTCCTATGCTATTTGTCAGAATGGACATAGATCTTATTTCTTATGAAGAGAGATGTCAAGAGAATTGACTGTCACACTTGAAAGCCATCACAGCCTCTCTACCCGCTGTTGTCCACACAGTGCCCACATGGGTTTGTGTACCTGGATGCCAGCAACTTTCTAATTAAATTGTATTGAATCTTTGAGGTTAAAGGGTTGAGAAACTCTTTCTTTAGTTTCTTTAGTGCTACTTTGATTCATGTGGTGACCTCTCATTTATACATTCTTCTTTTTCTTCCTTATCATCTTCCTTAAGCAATCTTTCTATTCTATTGAGCTACTGCCTTTTTAACTATGTGTATTTTTGCTTTGATCTTTTAAATCTGAAAGTTTAATCTACACTCTATAGCTGTTCTCCATCTTCCTTCTGCCACTACCACCATGTTGCTGAGCTGGTCCTGTACAGACATGTAGTTTCGTGTTTCTCCACAGTGAGGCTCCCAGAGGGGCTTCCCATGTCTGTGATCTCACAGGTGCACTGGGCTGAACTAGGAGGATTCACACCCTAGTGTTTCCAGTGTGCCACCTCTCAGGCTTCCACAGTATTTTAATTTAATATTTTTTAAAAATATTGTAAATCTGAAATCCAGGGCTTGTGACAAGTTCACCTGTCTTCAATAACGGTCGTCCTCTGTGTTTGTCTCCTGCAGGTTCCAACTATGGGAGCCCGCGCCCAGCTCATGCCAACATGAATGCCAATGCGGCTGCGGGGCTTGCCCCCGAGCACATCCCCACCCCCGGAGCAGCCCTGTCCTGGCAGGCGGCCATCGATGCGGCCCGGCAGGCCAAGCTGATGGGCAGCGCTGGCAATGCAACCATCTCCACAATCAGCTCTACACAGAGGAAACGGCAACAGTACGGCAAACCCAAGAAGCAGGGCAGCACGACCGCCACACGCCCGCCACGTGCCCTGCTCTGTCTGACTCTGAAGAACCCCATCCGGAGGGCGTGCATCAGCATCGTTGAATGGAAATATCCTTTGATCTCTGGGCCCGGCAGGGTGCTGCTAGGAGTCTTAGAGTATGGGGCAGTCCTCCAAGGCCTGCCCACCAGTACGCTGTGTTGGCAGTGCTGAGCCTACAAACTGGTTCTCTGCCCACTGCAGCTGTATCCCTGGAGCACTGTTAAAATGCAGAGTTCTGGGCCCTACCCTGGATGTGATGAATCAGAATCTCTGGGGAAAGGACCAGGAATCTGTTTAACAGCTCCCCAGTTATTTTTTTTCTGTTATATATTAAGCAATGTTTGTAAATACGAGCCGCAGAGGTTAGACGTCATCACTGCTCTAGCCGTGCCTGCCCAGGGATCTGTGTGTACTATTGGGCAAGCAGTGACTCCATGCCTCTTCACAGCCCCCTTTTCCCCCCAGTGTCATGGCACCAGAATAGTTTCATGACTTCCTCCCAGGAGATGCAAGTGGGACCTGGCCAGTGACTTTGATTCTTAGCTCAAGGGCATAGAACAGTGGTTCTCAACCTTTGCTACACTTGGTAGACCACTTGGTAAAATGGGAGAAAAAAAATGTCTGAATTACAGCCAAAACTAATTAATACAGACTCTCTAGGGAAGGGTTCAGGGATCATATTTAAACTTTCCAGGTGATTCTGCTGTGCTGCCATGGTTGAGAACACAGACTCAGATTTTTACCATAGATCTGCTTTTGAACCTGGAGAAAACAGTGAGTGAGCCCTTCAGAGAAAATGGCTGTGAAGGGTTGAACTCTTACTATGGAATTACAGATACTTTAGCATCCTAGAAATTATGAGGTGACAGAGAGGGAAAGGACTTTAGCGACTAGTAGGACACCCTTGACCAGTGATGAAAGGAATACCCCCCCCCCCAAGTGATTCTTCTAGGGTCATAGTTAGTGATAGAGCCATTCTGGTTGATGTGTGTAAAACCTACAAAGAGGTCAGGAGAGCATGCCACCTGAACAGAGAGCAATGTGCCAGCGCCCAGGTGAGGGATTTGTGACTGGATAGGGATCAGGCACTGTCTGGTACACTGAGGGTTGGAGTCAGGGCCTCATGCCAAAACCCCCAATGGGGCCAGCCACAGTGTCAACAAGTTTTGGTGGAGTAGGGGTGGTCAGGAAATCCAGGGTTCTAGTCCTAACAGATCATTCTGTGTTACTGAGTAAGTTTCTCAGGCTCTTGTCAGTTTTTGACTCAATGATCTGTCAGACCTCTTCCTGATCCAAAACTCAACTCACTTTGTGAGTACAGGTTTCTGTGAAAGCATTAAGCTGTCGTGACCTCTCCACTGCTCGTTTACTCTCTTCTCCTGTTAGACTTCACATAGTGGACTGGAAGCTTAACACTGAGGAGTGAAAGGCACTTGGAGAGTGAGCACACACTGGGAGCTTCCTTTGAAAATTTTCCTTTCTTGTATTCATTTATGGGTATGGGATGGATTTCCTTGGAAGAGATATTATCATATTATCTCATTTTTCTCTTCAGAATGTATCTTGCTTTTTATTTTGGTAAAGAAATTAGGGCCTGAGAACCCCTTCATTAGACTGCGGGTGTAAGGTAGCCCCATGTTATACTCAGATGCCAGCAAATATCAATAGAAACCTAGTGTTGCTCACTGAAGGAAGTGCCTTCATAGACTGAAGAGATACCATGGCTTCTAGCTAAATCTGTGCCTTGAAAGAAAGATGGCTGCCACATTCGAAACAAAACAAGACTCTCAATGCCAGTTTAAGAAATTAAAACATGACTATTTTCTTGCACTGACTATAGAAAGAGGAAGCAGAGTGAAATACTTCATATACACCTCAACCCAGGCCTTGTGCTTGGTTTGTATTATGAATAGGGTAACATGGCACTAAGGAAAAGGGAAAAAAAAGAAATTAAAACCCAAACCTTCTAACTTCAATTAAGATTAAAAGTAAAATCTTCCTCATGTCGGTTCTTCTCCAGCCTGCCTATGTGAATCCCCAGGGATAGACCTTTAGGCCAAGAGGAAGGGGTGTCTGTGGGGCAGTGAGTCCTGTATGAGACAGACACCACTCTTAAAAAGCAACCTCAAATACACATGAGGGAAGATGAAGTCAAATGCAATCCAAATAAATAAAAGAAGGGGGGAAAAGTTTTCAGAAATCTCTGTTTACACTGGCACGCGACTGGCCTCCACTGCTTTTGACATATTAGGAAAAATTTTGGCGGGGACCCATGAGAAGCACTTAAAAAGGCATATGTTTCTTTTCATAATACAAGGGGCTTGGAATGCATTGTTTAAACAAAATTCTCATGACTCTTTGATTCCTTTGTGAAAAAATGTATAGATGTATGTTTATTTCACTTTGTCCTGTGGCATCAACTTCCTTAACTCCCTTCCTCAGACCATTTGAAATAATTATTTTACTGACTATTTTTGCCAATTGTGTGGCCTTAGCGATCTATATTCCCTTTCCAGAAGATGATTCCAACGCCACCAATTCCAACCTGGTAAGTCCACCTTCCTTGAGTTACTGGGTTTTTGTTGCTGTTGGTTGTTATGTTTTTTGGGTTTTTTTAAAATCTCATCGAGAGCTGAGCTTGAATCCTGCGACTTCATATTGGTATGCGGATGAGAAGTAAGAATTGTATGTGACAAGTACAAAAAGCATTGTAGAGTTGCAACCTTGAGTGCCATTTTGCTCGTCATTCAAATCAGCACCTGTCCTATTATTACAGTCCGCTTTCAGAAAGAATAGGCCAGTTAGCTACAGCAGTGAGCTCTGAGTGTGTGTGAACCTGAGCGTGTGTGTGTTTTGAGTAGCGAATTTGGAGCAAAATGTGCTGTGTAAGTTGCAAGAGCAGGTGTTTGCAGGCGCTGGCTTTTATTCTTGGACTATTTGTTATATTTATTTTAGGTTCCTCCATTCCATTGGCAGGGTCTGCACAGGTGACCTGCAGCATTGCTGTGCACAAAATAATTTCTAGGAAGCTTTTTGGAAAGTTTGCTTTTGAAGCCAAGATGTATTATTTCGTTAAAAAGGTTTCATTTTCTCGAGAAAGGCCACTATTCCATTTGGATTGTTAGGAGGCCAGTCCTGGCAATTGAGGGTAAGGATTTGTCCATGGAAAAAGTGGAGAGTATGTTTACTTTTGGCTGAGTGTGAAGTCATTACAAAAGCCTTTGCTCCGTCTGGGCATGTGAGGAGAAAAGCTCTGGAATGCAATTGGAAAAACTGGGGCGCTCTGGGATGCCTCTGTTACAGGCCTGTAGGAGAATCCTGTCACCTTCCCCACTCCTGCGAAGACACTGTTACTTTTTATGATTTCCACAAAACTGGCCACCAAAGTCACTATTTCCTCTCTGTCCCCCAGTACTTTCCTCTAATTAGCAAGACCAGACTGATGAGATTGCTCTTAAAAGAAACAGGAGGGTTCCACACAATTTTCCTTTCCATCATTGTTGCCAATTGCTGATGCTATCACGGGTGTATTTTATTTTATTTCAGTCTTTTAACCGTTAGCATTTCCTCTGGCCCCTTCAACAACTCCCTCTGATGTCTGTTTTAAATTTCTCTGCCATCTCCCCATTTTTCTCGGTTAGTTGCAGATCCATATTGGGTAAGGTGTTCAGCGTGTGCCGGGCGGCTGTGTCTGTGGCTCAGCTTGGGGCCTTGTGCTGGGGACAGGTTCCAAAGCTGGGCCAGTGAGTGTTGAGTGATGACATGGGTGGACTCCACAGGCTAAGCATTAACTGTAGTCCATGTGGTCTCCGAGGTATGACCTTGTCTCTTAACAGGCAAGAAATCTTAACTGTGTCCAAATAAATACAAGCAACACTGTCTTGTGAACAGTGCCTGGAAAAGCAGGCGCTCCTTGCATTGGCTATGTTTTTCCTCCTCTCTGCCCGACCCCTGATCCTCTCTAAGCCTCTTGCAATTCTGCCCTTAATTGACCACATTTTATTTATTCTTTTTCTTTTTTTTTTTTAAGTGAAACTCAGGTTACAAATAAAATCCACTTCTTGTTTTTAAGCCATTGGGGCTTTGCATGCATGCTAGCCAGAGCAAGACTGAAAATGGGTTTGATATTGGGCCCCAGATATGGCCACATATAATACCCTCACCCTGGGGTTCACTGGACAATTAGTAATACTGCTTGGAGAACTCAGGAAGACTTGAGAAGACTTGGCCTGGCTGAGATCTGATAGACCTATATGCCTGGCTGGTGGAGGGCCAGGGTTTATTCTAGAACTGGAACTTTGTGTGTGTGTGTGTGTGTGTGTGTGTGTGAGAGAGACACTGGAGGCATAGTGATTTCTCTCTGTAAATCACACCATGAAATGATGAAAATGTTTGAAAACTAATGGTTGCACAATCATATAAATTTACTAAAAATCATTAGACCATAGATAGACTTAAAGTGAGTTAATTTTATGATTTGTAAATTAAACCTCAATAAAGATTTTTTTTTTAAAGGCTTATACTAGGAGGGGGGCCCAGGCCTCCCAAAGCTTTCCATCATCTGGCTTCTGCTGGCTGTTGCTCCCCTGTTCTTTGGAAATGAAGGGCAAGATTAGAGCAATGGAAGGGGAGAGGCAGTGCGAGCAGCCAGTGGATTTGGCAGTGATCTTACACGGTAGGTTTGGGGAGAGCAGAAGAGAGCATGGGGAATTTGAGAAGGGACTTAAGATCTCAGGATGATTCTTACCTTCGTTAAGCAAAAGATGAGGTGCTCGGCAGTGCCTTACTCAGTTAAGCAGTTATACTCAAGTTTCCTCAATTCTTTTAACAGATAAAAACACCATACTTATTTCTTCTATCTTCACTTCTGATTTCCTTTGACATTTAAGTATATTGTGTGTGTGTGTGTACATGTATATAGGGATGTGTTGTGTGTCTAAATATTTACATATGTTTAGAAATATCTATGTGTATAATTGTGCTTGTACATGTATGAGAGAAATAGAAAATTAGAATGAGGGGTGTGTGTATATAAAACATATATATAAAAAATAATGTATATCTCAGAATGCTCCTTAGAAGTCAGACTTCATCTCATGTATTTTGGATACATGGATATATTATCAGGAGGGATTAGTCTCTGAAAAAGGACATCATGCTTGGTGAAATGGAGGGTCAGTGAAAAAAAGGAAGTCTCTCAATGAGATCAATTAACACAGGGACTGAGTGTCTTTAACAGTGGGTCTTAAGCTCAGCAGAGACTATGAGGCTGGTAAAAGATCAAGCAGTATTACATTAAACAGGGTTAGGAGTTGGAGCTGATGTTACAGCATCTAACAGCCTACACACACACACACACACACACACACACACACACACACACAGTGATATTTGAAGAGTAGTAGTTTATACTTGCTGTCTCTGCATGTTCATTTCATTCCCTTTTCAGCTCCTTCTTCTCTTTCACTCCTGTCATGTTAGTGAAACGGGTCTCTGGAATGTAACAGATATAAATCTCAGTTGTCAAACTCAGGTAGGAAATAAATGTAACTTTTTTTTTTTGCTTTCCTATAACTGAATATAATGTCTGTTTGGAAACGATGTTTGGTCATGTGGTTTAAGCTTATCCTTTGTAAATTCCTGGCCTTTCACCCTTTCCCTGAGGTCCTGGAGACTTCTCCAGATCCTTGCGTTATGGGACAGAAGGTCCGTATTGTTCATGAGTGATTGATTCACATTCCTGAAATGGTGTAACAGGTTCTAGTAGGGCATTTGTCTTTGGCCCAGTCAGGCAATGTGGTCACTTGTTCTCTAGCCCAAGACCTTGCCAGCTTTAGCTCTCTCTCAGCCACTTGTGGGTCTGGGAGGTGGAGGCACATGCAGATTTCAGAAGCCCCCTCACGAGGGCACATCCTAAGGTATAACTCATCTTTGCTTCTGCTCTGAATTTCCTGCATTTTTGCCATCTTGGGTTCTAGCGGTAAAATTTACTAAAAATTATTTAACCATATGTTTAGAATGAGTGAATTGTTTTATAGGTAAATTATATTATAGTAATACTCCCCCCCCTTAATGCCTTGCGTTAGCACGGGAGGCCTTAGGAGGCCTTTTTCCTTTACAAATTTTGTTGGCTGCTGCTGCCTATAGGCTATTCCTGTGTTCTCCCAGGTGGTGCAAAGAGTTGCTAGGCTAAGCATCTAATCAAAAGGTTGGAAACCCTGACTTTACCACTTTGTAGTTCTGAATAGTAAGCTAAAAGTCTTCAGCCATTCTGCATCTCAGTTTCTTCATCTGTCAAATGAATGTAACATCACCTTCTCAGAGAGTTCTGGCAAAGAACAGAGCAAACAATGACCGTGAAGTGCCAAGCACAGTCTTGGCACACAGTTGTATGTGCCAGAATATTTTGCAGATTCCTTAAAAATGTGCCCTAAATAAAACTCAGTGTTTCTCCCATCGCACAGCCCTACCTCTAAAAGAAAACAAAGTCCTAAATGGACTCAGCTTCTCTTTCTTACCCTTGACATGGTCAGTGACATAGCCCTCCCAGCTGTCATAGTGGGTCTCCTTTACCAACTCTGTCTCCTTCCTATGCTCATCAAAGCAGGTATCAAGATTTGGAGATTTCAACTGGCAAGGTAGCATATTTAGCTTCCTTTCCATTCTCAAACTTGATTGTTTAAACTCTGTGCCTTAGCTTTATGTCTCTAATATGAGGATAATTTATAGTAGTATTTACCTCACAGACTTGCTGTGAGGCTCAAGTATACACAGGTCTAAGAAGAGTATAATAGTAA